CCCTCGATGTTTAAAATATATAAAAATTTTATTTCAACGTATACAAAAAGTAAATCCACCTGCGTTACAGCACGGCGGGAGACGGGGAAGGGGGGCCGGGGGGCCGCGGCGTAGCGTGACGTGGTGTGTGCGCCGGTCGCGCGGGGTACGCGGGGCGCGCGCGGTGTGGCGCGCTAACGCGGGCCGCCGCGAAGCTAAGCAAATTTAATGTTTGAAAGAGAAATAATGTCAATTGATTTTATTTCGTTTTTAAAAAGGTAATAATGTCAATTGACTTTATTTCGCACCAGGGTGGGAAATAAAGTCAATTGACCTTATTTCCGTTGATCTTATTACCTGTCACCATGTTTTCTTCCATCAGAGGAGCGCGGCATATATTAGGGTGGGTTTTGAGATAATTCCGTACATAAAACTTAATAGTTTAGGTTTGATGCTCCAGGAGAAATAGTTACGAGAGTAAGATTTTTAATTAATAATTTTTTCCCACAAATCAGAGTCCGGGTATCGTGATTACATTTTTAAATTACTCTAATTTTTTAACTATAAGTAATTTAAGCTCTTCATGATTTCTCTTTTGGGGTAATCTGATAAAAGAGTCGCTGCGGTCTTGCTCTCTATGCTTAAAACCATAGTCCCGGCAGTCTTCGCTCTTACATTTGTGTTTTTGCACTTATAACAGCTAGGATAATCTCCATAGTCCATGTGCGGACTCCTTTTACCATCTATGGCGACGTAGTAAATTTGTCTTGCTTTTGTCTTGGTTTTTGTTTCTGGCTTATTTCGCTAACGAACGGGCTTATTAATGAATCGTTTAACTTACAAAAAGATATGTTTCTGGATCTGTTTATTTAAATTTAGTCTTGAAATCTATTTCCCTTTTTTGCTTTTCTTCCAAGTGCAAATGTATATGGTCTATGTAATCGTAGTATTTTATTTTGTATAAATTTTTCTGTAGATGCTTTCCATTTCCAGACAACCGGGCAGGTACGAGCATGATTTTTAATTTCGACCAAACTCAAATACATTGTTTGTTGGTCCAAATAATGAGACACGTATTTTTTCTTTTGGCTCGGAAACATTTTTCGGCCGAATTAAACGCGATTTTGTTTTTCAGGCAAAAATCGATTATTCGAATTGACAGTGAGAATGTTTTTTTAAAATGCCCATAACTTTGTCAAAATTTAATAGATTCCAACAATGTTTTTCCTCAAATGTCAGTAATTCTTGTCACTTCAAGATAGAATGATATAATTATTGATTTTCATTATTTAAATTTTTTTAATTAACAATAAACAAAAAGCGCAATTTTTTTTTTAAACTTAATTTCTCAAAAAGTGTATTTTTTTCTCTCAAACTTTTTTACCGGGAAAGAGACACTTTGAACTACAATCAATCCAAANTGAGAAATTAAGTTTTAAAAAAAAAATTGCACTTTTTGTTTATTGATAATTAAAAAATTTTAAATAATGATAATCAATAATTATATCATTCTATCTTGAAGTGACAAGAATTACTGACATTTGAGGAAAAACATTGTTGGAATCTATTAAATTTTGACAAAGTTATGGGCATTTTAAAAAAACATTCTCACTGTCAATTCGAATAATCGATTTTTGCCTGAAAAACAAAATCGCGTTTAATTCGGCCGAAAAATGTTTCCGAGCCAAAAGAAAAAATACGTGTCTCATTATTTNTTGAGAGAAAAAAAATGCACTTTTTGAGAAATTAAGTTTTAAAAAAAAAATTGCACTTTTTGTTTATTGATAATTAAAAAATTTTAAATAATGATAATCAATAATTATATCATTCTATCTTGAAGTGACAAGAATTACTGACATTTGAGGAAAAACATTGTTCGAGAAGTTGATTTTTGCCTGAAAAACAAAATCGCGTTTAATTCGACCGAAAAATTTTTCCGAGCCAAAAGAAAAAATTCGTGTCTCATTATTTGGACTAACAAACAATGTATTTGAGTTTGGTCAAAATTAAAAATCATGCTCGTACCTGACCGGTTGTCTGGAAATGGAAAGCATCTGTACTATTTATGATTTTTCATTCAGGTATCGCAGACTATAACAAGAGGTGGACCTAGATCACAAATAGCTATACCAGCTCAAGGAATGATAGAATTTCGAGATGCGCTAACAGATTTACTTGAAGAGTTCGGAACCAATGACGGCGGGTATGTACTTAATATGTCAAATTTAAAAAATATTAGAAAACCAATCGTACTTTATAGTGGCACTCGAGAGTAGGGATGCCAGTGGCAAAAATACATCGATGTTTTTCTTTGATTCAATGAATCGAAATGTAGATGCATCGATTTGCATAGGATTTTTCAGATAATACTTCACAACAAAATATGTTATTAGCAAAATTGTACCAAATTTTAAATAAATTACTGCAACTGAGCTAATTATGTTTCTAACGGAACTTTTTGGAGCCGTTTTAATTTTTTTGTCAAAGTCACTTATATTTTTTGTACAATTGAAAAACTTATACAATTGAAAAACTGGAACGACGGTTCAATGTACTAAGACGTCAGTTTTGAAAAAACATCGATGCATCGATACATCGACTGTGTATACATCGAGTGGAAAATTTTCGATGCATCGAAGCAAAACATCTATATTTCCGATGCGTCGATGTTTTTCCGACATCCCTACTCGAGGGCGAACTGACGGAATATTGACACTTTTTTGACGATGTACTTTTAAAAAAGTAACTAAATAAACATGGAGAAGAGACCGGGTGGCCGATAATCAGGCTATCTTTCTATACCGACGGATCCAAGACGGACTGCGGTGTAAGAGCGTGAGTCTCCCCCTGTCTCTACTTCTGAGAAAGGATACGAGTATCTTCCAAGCGAAGATTCTAAATAATAAAGCCTTTAAATCTTAGGTAATGGCGTGGGGCACAAAAACCAAGCAACACTATATTCTGACAGCCAGATGGTGTTACTAGCAATAACATCTCCTGTCGCAAAATAAACGTGGTCTAGAATCAGGCTCAGGGTCTCCGAAATACCTGAACTTAACCGAGAGGGTCTTAGAAATCTCACTGGCTACCTGCCAGGACACTGCAAGTTAAGGTATCATTTGTATAAAATTTGGCAGATTTTGTGGGCTGGTGGAGTGAACCACATATCATATTCTATGTGACTGCCCACGAATCATGAATAGCAGACTGATACCTTGGGGAACGGTTGCTTTCTCCATTCAAAATGTGGAACATGTCACCCTCCAAAGTGCTTAACTTCTTAAATAGCCTAAGGCTGCAGTGATTAATTTAATCATACTGTTTTTCTACATTGCACTATTTTTTTTAAATAATTTTTTGAAGTAATTATATTTTTTAAATTTCAAAGTCCTTTAAAAAAAATCCTGACGTCAGAGAGAAAAACAAAAACGGAGTTTTACTATATTTGGCCCAGGGTTTCGCGAATATATAATTTTTTTTTGTGTGTGTAAAACTTACTGTGGCACGGTGTTACAATAGGGTTTAGTACAATAGATCTTCTCAGGTCGCAGCACGAGTATCCAAGACGTAATAATAATAATACGAAAGAGATATACATTTGTACAAGTCTGTACAGTAAAACGAATTGTTATACGGAGTTAGTTTGTTTTTATTGTACTAGCCGTATTTTTGTTTTATTAAATGTTATGTTATCTAAATTTTTAATAAACCTGACATTGAACAAAAATTAAAAGCTCAAAAAATTGTTTGGTAGGTTTTGGTTGGTTTTGGTAGGGACAAAAATGTGTCCGTGGCAACAAGGCCGCGGGTTTCACCTCACGTTTTGATACAAATATGGAAAATAATTTATTTCTGTGCCCATTTTGGTATAGCTGTATATTTTTTAAGCGAGTTAAGGTATTTAAGCTGTTTTAAACTATAAAAATATAAAATCTCGTCTGCACGCTACGCTGCATACGAAAGATATCAATCCCTCCAAGTTTACCTTAAAATGGTTCCAGGGATACGCCGCGTGAACGTGTAACCTTATGAAATTAAAAATTGCGAGGTTTTTAGATTTTTTAAAAAGAATTGCAGTATGTTGGTTGGTTGGTAGAAGCGTCGCAGGGGTATGTTCCCAGCACCCAATTAGTGCTGAAAGCACCATTTTGATACGCTTTCTCTGGGACCCCTGATTTTATCTGCTTTCATGATTCGTTGGGTTCGTCAAACCATTTGGATTTTCCGATGAATCTATTTAGGTTAGTAATGGGGAATTTGGAAATTTCCCAAGATTTTGGATGGAAAAGCTCCCGAGTGTGATCTGCCTTATTTGTGCCAATGCTGGGCACTCGCAAAGATAGTGAAGAACCGTTTCCTTACTTCCCACAAGATTACAGCTACGGCACCGAGGGTTATACGGAAGGCCCATTCTAGCTGCATTTTCACCAATGGGCCAATGTCCCGTTATCGTGGCTATTAATTTGACTATATCTTTTCTTGACCTCTTGAGAAGTTCTTCTGTTTTTGGCTTGTCATAGTGCGGCCATATGTACCTCGCAGTTTTGCAGGTTTGAAGGTTGTTCCAACGTGTCTCAGCCATACGTGTGAATTGCAGATGCAGTTCCCTTTTGATGAGTCCGAGGGGACAATTTACAGTTTCTGCTTCGGATTCATCCAAAGATGCTCCGGCCTTAGCCAACTCGTCAGCCCTCTCATTTCCGTGTATGTTCCTATGGCCGGGAACCCAGATTAGAGGGATGTCTATTAACTCGGCCGCCGAGCTTAACGCACATTTGCAATCTCTGACTGTTTTGGATTTTGTTACCGGTGAGGCAAGTGCCAGAAGTGCCGCTTGGGTATCTGAAAAAAATGTATGGTTTTCGTACACCTACGCAGTTCCACTCTAGTGCTTTACAGGCCCTTTCGATGCCCAGTACTTCCGCCTGGAAGATGCTAGCAAAGTCAGGTACTCGAAACGAGAGAGAGATATTCAGCGTTTCAGAGAACACCCCACATTGTTTATCCAGTGCTGGCCACCAAACTAACGCCGCATACGTTAGTATTGGTCGTATGGTAGCTGTGTACATCCAGAGGACAAGCTTTGGCTTCAATCCCCAGTTCCTACTGAATATTCTTTTACATGTATAATAAGCTGTGTAGGCTCTCTCAACCCGCCTCTCTATATTTGTCTTCCAGCTCAGCTTGGTATCTAATACGACACCCAAGTATTTAGCCTCGGAGGACAATGTGCGTTACTGGACCAATGGTTGAAATTATGATTCTGTTTCTGAGCATTTGTTCGATCCACTCGCATATGTGGTCAGATATTCCCACCTTCACAAGAGATCGAACAATTGCTTCGACTGTTATGTTATTGAAGGCCCCCTCTATGTCGAGGAATGCCGCCAAAGTGTACTGCTTGTAATGGAGTGATTTTTCTATGGTGCCCACGACTTCATGAAGGGCAGTTTCAGTTGACCTGCCGTTAGTGTACGCATGTTGAGCTTTGGAAAGTTTGGAATTTCCCAGAAAAAGCCTAATATGTAGGTCTAAAACTCTTTCCAGTACCTTTAGCAGGAAAGATGTAAGACTTATTGGTCGGAAGTCTTTTGCTTTTTTGTGATTTCTTCTCCCCGGTTCTTTTTCCAGCTTTTCGGAATGTATGCCAAGCTGATACTGGCTTTGTAGACCCTTTCCAGCCAGGATACCATAGGCTCCTGTAATTTCTGGAGCATTATCGGAATGATACCATCTGTGCCTGGGGATTTGTATGGGGAAAATTTATTTATAGCGAACTTAATTTTTTCCTTGTCTACGATTGAGTCGAGTAATTCTTTTGAGAGTTGCAGACGATTTGTATGAGGCCATGTTTTTGGCCTCTGATCGCAGCCAGGATAGTGTGTATTTGTGAGAGTCTCTAGTGATTCCTCCGCTGTCCTGGTCCATGCACAGTCCTCTCCCTTAATAAGGTTGGGGTTGGTGTGTTCTTTGGATAAAACTTTTGCTTAGTCTGGCGGAATCCCTACAGTTCTCTATGGATGTGCAATAGGACTGCCAAGAGTCCTCTTTAGCTTTCTTTATTAATTTTTTGTACTGCCTTAATTCATCTTTGTATGGCTGCCCAGTTTTGTTCTGCAGCACTCGTTAAAGATTTTTCTGAGATTTGACCTGTGCTCCCTAAGCTCCACCGTCCACCATGGAGGGTGATTTTTTTTTAAGGACGCTTACTGGTGTGGATTTTTTAAAAGCTATGGCTAGAGTTTTTCCAGCTTATCTACCGTGTTGTCTAGTTCTACAGCAGTTGTAATCTCCTTTGATTTACTACTGTCTAGGTTACCTGACGTTAGCCTAATAAATTTTGGCCATATTGTTCTTCTCGGATTCCGAAATAGGGAAGAGGTAGTGGGCTTTCCGCGAATGCTGAAGAGTATCCAACAATGATCCGACATGGATGTTTCACTGAATACTCTCCAGTCATCGACGACAATACCATCTGTTGCTAAGGTTAAGTCCAGTACCTATTCCCATCCCGCAAATCTTTCGGAGCTGGGAAATATAAAGGTCGGACTCTCCTTTATTGCATATACTCAGGTTAGTATTTAATATAAAGTGTAAGAGAGACTCACCTCTGCTGTTTATCGTGGAACTCCCCCAGATAGTGTGTCTCGCATTTGCGTCGCATCCTATCAGAATTTGTTCCCTCTGATTTTGGACGATTAATTGTTCCAGTTCGTCGGGTGGGGCGTCCCTGACATGAGCCTGGTAGGCAGATGCCGGGAAGATATTATGGTGCCCTTCCCTCTCCACTTTGACCACGGTTAAGTCTGCTGTGCTGTAATTTGTACAGTGAAATGCATTAATACCTTTTTTGATTAGAATGCATGCTCTTGGTTTACCTATGTTACCACTATAAAAGAGGTTATTTGTACTGCTGTTAAGTCCATGGATCTGATCACCTCTGACCCACGGCTCCTGGGTAAGGCTGAAGTCGATGCTTCCCTCTCCGAGAAGGATTGACAGATTATCTCTCGCACATATTGAGTGATGCAGATTAATCTGTACACACGGCGGGGCTGCATCGGTGATGTTGACGTCCTTCAGCAACTGGCTCGCATCGTCGACCTCTTCTGTGTCGTCTTCATCAGGAGCCTTGTCGGATGTCAAAGCGAATTCTGTTGTCCGCCTTTGACAGAGCCTCAATAGGTTCTTCGCAAATCGTCCAGAGAAGAGTTCTGCTGGTTTTATTTGGCTACTCAACTTTCATAAGCTGCCAGTCTGCTCTACACGGTATGTG